TTTTTTTCACCTTAAGGAGTATGGAATTGCCATAAGTAAATATGGTGTCTCGATACGGAAATCTATAAATTAGCTGCAACTAATGTCAAATATTGAATGAAAGACAGGTGTGAAGTAGTACAAGATACACAGAAAGTCAATGCACTTGTTTTGTATTTCTGCATTCGTTGCTCTGCTGCTATATATTGATCGCATACCGCGCGGTATCAGTAGCAGATAAATCAGTCATGGGTGAACATCGTACTTCAACTTTCCGCATTACAAGGGTGTGATGCAAACCTATTATCTGTTGAAAAAGGAACATAATGATTATTTTTTCTTTGTGGTTTAATTTCAAAGGGAAATGTTTCAGTTCAATTTGGTTACAGTTTTTATCACTTTGAATCAGAAATTGAAATTTGTGAATTTCACTTTTGCATTTTGGATCATCTGTGTTTTGCAGTTCCTTCAAAAGTGTCTCTGATTGGATCATGCCTGTGGTGCACTTTTCTGGGCTTTCTCTGAATCACAACAGCGAAACCATAGACGGATACATTGTTGAACTCCTTTCACGCAAAAAGTATATAAGTAGAGACGAACTATTTAACAGAAGTGTGCCAGTGCTACTGTTATGAAAACATCTGTGTGGTACTACCCAGGCGGGTTGCGTTTCAGTTTCGAGCTTCGCAACCACTGTTGGCTGAAGACTACGACGATATTTTGTCGTCTTCAGGGTTAGGTGACTAGTTTTATTTTTATCGTCAAAGTTTTCCACTAGCTCGATGATGGAACTGTAGCTATTTAAATTCTGTTTCGAATCATTCAGAGACAAGAAAACAAAAAAACAAAATAAACGGCGCTTACTAATGGGCACTGAGCGATAGGTATAGCTCTGAGATATTTCCATGATCGATTTGAATAGTCTCTAGAAATTGCTTGCATCGATGAAATATGGTTTGAAATTCCAGACCTACCTAACGAAGTGGTCATTTTCAGATTCTTTGAAAAATCTACCTATTCTGAAGAAAAAACAATTGAATTTACACTTATTACCTTCAAAAATTTTGAAATGTGGTGAAGGTCGAAAGATTTAGAAGTTCTTATTAGCATACATTAGTAATATTGATATGTGACGACAATAATGATATGCAATGAAATAACAGGCCAGATCGAAGTTTGAGAGTAGCAGCGGATGCAGGAAATAAATTTTTTCCAGCCCAGTTATTCTTAAAGTTTGAAATATTGAAAAATTCATGAAATGAAAACATTGTCATCCGCCAGAATCTGCAAGTGGCTTAATACTTATGGAATATAAAAAATTACTTAATTTTAACATCTGGACAAGTTTTCATCCTTCTATTTTGTTGTAGAAGTTTTTAAGTTACCGCATTTGAAAATTTTTCGGGATGTATTAACTGAAAAATTTGAGAATGGAATTATATTAATATATAACATATGATAATGCACAGTGACAGATAATTCTACTAGTACAATAATTTTGCTTATATTATCAAAAATATGATTACCATCAATATAGAAAATTAGGAAAATTTAATGAATGATTCGTTTATTAAAATCATTGCTTTATTTTGCACCCATAATTTGTAAATCTTTCTCATTCATGAATTACTTTTCAAAAGGATAATAATCTTGCGAAGTTATGAAATTGAAAATGTGAACAAACATTGCGCTCAGTGCAAGTCATTGAATGATCAGATAAATGGGAAGAAAAAAGGAAAAAAAAAAAAAAGAGGACGAAGGTGAACATAATATACTTTTACTAAGTTATTTTTCCGGCTAAATGCAATACTGCAAACAATCCGAACCTAGAATTTTAAAAGAAATTTTCCGAACCTAGAATTTTAAAAGAATAGAATTTTTGCATCGTTGAAACCCCAATTTTGCGCAGGTTTCATGCTCTGAAATCATGTAAATAAATTTTTGCCTTTATGATTGCTATGAATTGTTTCAAATGATCCACTGAAATGATTTATGCTTTTTTTTTTTTGTCCTCAATATTTCATTTCGTATAAAATTGAAACAAGTAATGAGTATACATGAAAAGGCCGTTTTATTTGCTAATTAAATATGGCAAATCACCACAGCAATTTGGTGGTGTACAGGTTATTTTTATAGGTATTATATCAGTATGATAATTGGTAATGCTTAACTATTGGGATGATCAGGTGATGATAGTAAGGCAGGTACAGATCAAATAGAGCAGTACATGAAATCCTTAAAAATGATTTATAGTTTCGACTGGATTAAGCCAGATTAAGCCGTTTTTTCTTTTCTTTTTTTTTTTTTTCTTGCTCATCTATTCGTTTACATATCTAGCAATATGAATTTCTTAATGGTAGTTAGCCATTACACGTAACAGTAATTTTGCAATTTATTTAAATTTTCCGAAAATATCTAGCATTGTGATATGTGACAATCACAATGCTAGATATTTTCGGAAAATTCAATTTTGCTGTTTCATACTATTAATTCTTCACGGTCATGTGAATGTCTTTCACGTCACAAGAAATATTGGAACATACGAAGATGTCTGAATGTGATCAAATACCAAAAATTGATACGTTATAAATACACGGATGTATTGAGAATATTAATCAATAAAGTGAAATAAACTAATTAGTAATATACGATAACAGAAATAGAAAGTAGTTTTAGAAAAAAAAGTAATAGTAATAATAATAATAACAGAAAATAAAAACATCCTAAGGTCAGTCAATTAGTAGGGTGGTTTCTTTTTTTTTTGAAAATTGCTAAATTTATGAAGTTTTAAAGGTTCTTTTTTCTGCAGTATTTTCAAAAATGTCAAGTTTTTTTTCTTTTTATTTCATCACAGATAAAAAATTGATTTCCGTTTAAAAATGAATTCGTATGCTCAAGGAAAGCATATTAAAAAGTATTATTATTGGTGTAATATTTAAAACGAACTTTAATTAAACTATTGCATATAAAAACTGAAATGTAGCAATACTAATAGTAGTAGTCGTAGTAATAATAACTAGTAAAGTAAACTGGTAAACGAGTAAACTAGTAACTAGTAAGAGTAACTAGTAATAATAATAGTAATAGAAATAGTGATATCAATACAGTAGTAGCTAGATACAATTTTATTTCACTTTACCTGATCAAACTTTGATGGAGTACTTCAAAGTGTTTTGCCCAACTCAACTAGTAATTGTTATTTGGAGTTTTCTTCTCATAGAAGAAGTACATTTCGAAGTTTTCCTTTCATAGAAAAAGTACATATATGACAAAATCTCTTACGCGAGCATATTCTCAATTATTTCTATTCACATTTTCAAAATTGTTTTACTCCTTAATAGATTCATTTTGCTTACCACCAATATGTTGTTACGTTTACCTATCGTTATCAATCATCCTTTTTTTTTTTTATATTTATTATCCTTCTTTCCTCACCTTTTTTCTCCCTCCCTCAATTTTCCAAGTTTTTCAATTTGCTTAACTAATTAAGTATTTGAAATTAATTTCATCATTGTTACTGTTATTACTACAGTTACTTTTATTGATTAATTCCTGTCATTTGTTTAATTAATAAAGCATAGAAAAAAAGAAAAAAGAAAAACTCTTTTTTTTTCGATTCTATTTTTTGAGCTAATTTTAGAATAAGCAAAAGAGTATAACGTGATTAATAAATTTAATTGTTTGTTGCTACGACAACATATTTTTCTTTCATTTCTGTGACACCTGATAAAATGTTATGTTTTTAATATAAAGGTAAGTCTCATTTATCGTATCCGTGTAATAATTCTTTTTTTCTATATCGTTTCTTTCTTCTTGTCCTTTAATCATAAATGCACACTTATATATGCTTTTATCACCTAATCTTAACTAATATGATATTAAAAAAAAAAAAAAAAAAATTACTTACCTTAATGTTATTTATTGAACAAATTTTAGAATGATTTATCGTTTAATCGAAATCAATTCTTTTCCTTTTTTTTTTTATTTTAATTCTAAATTTTCCGCTTGTTTTGTTGCAATTTATTTCTTAAAATAATTATAAGAAATTTTACATTTTCTTTGTTCAACATCAAATTTATCCGTTCATAATGTATTTACTAATGTTATGAAAGTTATTGGACATGATGGTATGATCATCATACAGGAGTTAAATGATAAAAAAAAAAAAAAAGCTCTAAAATTTACACAATTTAAATCTGATACTGTACATTAATATATAGATTATCAATGATTACTATCATAACTCAGTGGGATTGCTTTGAGTATTGTTGAAAGTTAAACTGATAGATGAAATGAATTATTATCACCTAAGTCTAAATTATTTGTAACTCATTCTCATCTTATGCATCATATTTTCTCTTGTGCGAATATTCTTTAATGTTATACTACTATGCTCAAATTAAAACTTTAATTTGCATGATAATTCAAAGATTTAATCGTATTTTAATAGATGGTTTTCGCGAATTTAATTCGCATTTCAATTTTTAATTTTATCTCAAAAATAAAGTGTTCCATAATTATTATATTTGTTGTACTCATATGAATAAATCGTCAAGAAATGTCCTACATCATTACTGCAACATTTGTTCATTTTATAAAAAAAAAAATTTGTTTTCTTTTGTTTTTGATAAAATGTAATCAGTAAAGGAAGTAAAGTTTGTTAAAAAGAATCGATGAATAAATGATCAATTATTAAGTATGTAGCAATTTACTGACGAAAAATGAATCATAATTCTTTTAAATTCAAACTTTTCGTTTCTCTTTTTTTTTTTCTATTCTAGAGGAAATGTTCCTATTATAAATAGCAATAATTACGGAAATAGAATCATCCATTAATAAAGGATTAATTAGATCATTAGGATACTAGAAATTCCTTATAATTACATTTACATAAATAACTATAATAGATGAAACATGTTGGCGGAAAACTTTCGATAAACATGGAAAGATAAAAGCTAATTAAACGTAACTTTTGAAATTTGATACTAAGTTTAACATTTATACTTTGTTATTAATCGATGATGAAAATTGATATACCCAACTTTAGAATATTGTAATATCAGTATCATTTCCTCACATTATTTAGATGCATATATATTTACCAACATTTACAAATAGATATAAATCTTACCCATAAGCTGGTCTAGAAAAAAAAAAGCATTTGAATGTTCTAAAGTTCTAAATTAATTTTTACTATAAATCAATAATATTACGTTATGGAATATATTTTCACAATACCAATATTTTTATAGGAACAGTGATGCTTTGATAAGTTTGAAAGTTTGAAATTTTGATAAGTTTGAAATTTTCTGATTTATTAATCAAAAAATCGCTCATCAAAAGTTTAATCGCTAAATGGATAATTAAATTAAGTGATGGAAGAGTAATTACCATCATATATTACTATTTGCAAACTGATCCATATACATATCTGATACTTTATTACGTAAAGTATTTTTCTGCAATGTTGAAAAATGTTGAATTTCGCATCAATTTAAAGATATTGCCTGGTTGATAAGTTTGTTCGTTTTT